AACTCTCTCATATAACTTATGACACTACAAAAAAGAGGAGGTTTGGGGACAACGAAAGTCGTCCCCGGAAATAGGAAAAATCGTCCCTATAGTTTTTGGGGACGACTTAGTCGTCCCTAATGTGTGGTTCCCTATACTCTTGTCCTCTAATTCTTTGGGGACGAAAAAAATCTAGGTCGTCCCCATTACTAGTGACGACAGTCGTCCCCGATACTCGCAAGTCGTCGTCTCGTTTCTTTTATGTGAAAGACAACATGTCGTCCCCATAGCTATAACTGTAGCGACAATTAGTCGTCCCCTAAACATCATTTCCAGGGACAAAGTGTTGTCCCACATAAACAATTACATGATTGTGTTGGGCCTATCTGGGGATAATAAATCGTGCCCCTTTTCTTTCTACAAGGTCGACATGTCGTTCCTATAAGTATGAAATTGAAGTTTAAAAATCGTCCCCAAAAGCTCTATTCAATGACTGCGAGTGGTCTCTTATACTATATCCTTAGGGACGACAAGTTGTCACCTATGACTTTTAAGGACGACCAATTGTCCCTTTAGTTGTGTATCGGGGACGAGGAATTGTCACTTATACACCTTTTAGGAACAACAAATTGTCCCTTATGAAAGTCATATGACAACTTGTTGTCCCTTAGCATGTGTCTTTGGGGACGCCTAATTGTCACCTGAATCACTTATAGGGACGATCAATTGTCCCTTACCCTGTATTTTGGGGACGCCTAATTGTCACTTATTTGACTGTTATGGACGACCAATTGTCCTTTAAGCAGTGTCTTCAGAGGCATCAATTTGCTTAAACAGTGTCTGTGGGAACGAAAGATTGTCGCCTATGTGAGTTTGATGCACATGTTACCTTGTGAATGTGACTAATATAGTGGAACTTTTAGGAATGACATAACACATTTTAACTCAATATAGAAAAATGTCATAAAAATATCTCCATAAAAATTAAAACAAAATTACTACAATGCAATCCAATCCAACACCATAAACTAACATTCATCTTTTGAAATGATAAACATTCTCTCGTAAAACTAGAGAAAGAAAAACAAAAAAAGAAATAGATAACAAGTTTCAAATTCATAATTTGTTCTAGTATCTCTCTAACAAAAAAATATACTAAAATCTTATCTCTGCATACCACAGTATGTCCTGGCCAACAAATATTCTTTCTTCTCGGCTCCTGAAAGTGTAATCAGGAAAAATTTAAAAGTTAAATATATGGCAAGGACATTAATTGAATCAAATGGAAGTAGGAACTCAATTGGGGGAAAAAAGCATGGAGTACAAAATAATGAAGACACAAGTGAATTAGTACCAAACTGAAGCAAAGCATGACTCCGCCAATGTATGAAACAACAAATTCACACTAATTCCCACTACGGAGATGCTTGGAAAAACAACCCACTGATGTCATATATGAAACAACAAATACCAAAACAAATGGACACAGAGAAGTCTCAGAGCAATGAACTTTGGTTGGCTTCTATTAGTTCCTAAACTCAAACTGAAAAATCAAGAAGCAGCAAACGCACAAGCTTTTAGGGCAATGACTTTTCGACGTAATTAGCTGATACAAACTAAAAGAAACAGCCAAATCCTGATTTCCATCTGATGTGCATGATTAATCTTGCAGCTACAATCCATAACTAGAAACAATACAAGCCGCAGCTCAAAGAGGACAATCATACAAATAGAAATAAAACAGTAAACAACTTTGTTACCTTCCACATTCAACGATTCCGGTTCTCCACTACCAGATGCACGCAAATTGAATTGAAGAATTATGGAAGGCAATTCAGTTTCTGGTACACGTGACATGTTTGGGTTCCTGTGTCTACATATGAGCGGAGGATGTGATCTAAATTCCGCTTTTTTGTTCGTTGCACGAACCATTGCTGCAAAATAATTTCATAATCACTGTTATAATGAGAAAGAAAAGAGAGGACTAAATACATATATATGTTGCAACGTCGTCTACTCTAAGAACTCAAACAGGGGACATCAAGTCGGAAAAGAGAAACACAGATGCAGCTTGAATAACTTTTTTTCTCAATCCAAACAGTTAGCATATAAACATCTAAGAATGATAAACCCTAAAAGACAGATCCACCAACACTCTGTCCCAATGATCATGAACGATAACAAAACAAGAAGAATCAATAAATATGCAAGTATCAAGATTGAGAAGGGAGTTGAATCGTCGAATCGGAACGTGAACTGAAACCTACCGGACGGAGGCAGAGAACAATCACAAAACTCAACAGCTATCTACGGAATCAATTGAAGGAACAAAGTTCTTGACTATATTGATTCTGTGAGCCAAGATTTTCGCCGCCAAAGTCAAATATAGGGCTAAAAAGTTGGAATAGGAGGGAAACAGAGATGCAAGGAGGGAAAGGATTTGTGTCTATCTTAAGGAAAGAAAATCAACGGGGAAATTGAATTTCGCAGCCAAAGCCAAAGACAGTGCCGCCAATAGATGGAAGCAGCATTACGGTGAAAATGGAATCTGATTTATTTGTGTTTGAAATTTTAGCTAGAAAGTGCCGCCAAAATTTTGGCTTAACGCCCTAACTTTTTAAATTTATCACCCTAATTTAAAAAAGTTCACGATTTTGTCCTTAAAAAATCCCCAATCTCTAACTAAATTTGTAACCCTAATTAATAGCTTCAGCCGACAGCCGCCCTACCGCTGCCGTTCACCCTGGAAGGATGCTCATCGTCGGCGAGGATGTCACCGAGAGGAATCATCCGGCGAGCTGTTGATCGCTCGGAAACGCGTTCGGAAGGAAGGGCCTGGTTGCGGAGCCCGAGAGGAATCATCGTCGTCGAGAAGCTGTTGATCGCGCACCGAGAAGAATCATCGCCGCCGTCGCCCGAGAATCCCATCATTCGTACATCATCGTCGTCGCCCTAATCATCGTCGCCGTTCACGATTTATTGAGGATTTGATGCTTTATGAATTTGAAACAATGGTTATGTTTTTTTAGATGTTTTTTTCTACTATCATGTATGCAACCATTCTACTATACGACATTATTCATAACTCCATGGTAAACTTTTATACCATATAGTACAATCGTATTTACATACCAAGAAGTACCACATGATATGAACTAGTAATGAAAGTCTAATTTTTTTAAATATATCATAACGAATGTCATTTGGAAGAGCACAATGAATCTTGATTGTCTTACGGTATCTCTTCTTTTTGTTGAGCATCTCCCTCCTGGTATCAAAATTGTTTTGTATAGTTGAATTATGATGTTTAGCAAAATCAAACTAACATATTTATAAATGAGGAATTTTACAATGTCTTAAAATATCGATGCTTTAGTTTTTTGCCTTTACGATACAAATTGAAGTTGTACATTTAATGTTGTGGTACAGCTTCAGGTTGTACTTATACTATTTTGTATAAATTCTTTTATGGTACAAACTAAATTAGTACCTTTATGTTAGGCCACAAATTGAAGTTGTAACATAATATAAAAGTACAAATTTTCTTAAAGTACAACCTAAACTTGTACATTTAAGGTTATTATTCAACTTTAATTTGTATCTCGAATCACCAGTAGTGGTGGCAATTTGAACCCGCCCCACGGGTATTATCCGACCTGACCCGCAACGGGGCGGGGCATGGGTGTCTGCTTCCGACCCGTCCTGCCCCGTCCCGGCTCATTCTACCTTGATTTCTTACAATATCTATACATATTTCTCTTATTTTGACTTCTCTTCAACTAATTGGAGTCGATCCTTTCAACTGGTTAGACTCAATTACTCATTCTATTATCACTATTTTTCATTCATAAAGTATTTTCCCCTTCGTTTTATCGTAAAAGTAAAATTTGCGTGTGTATATTTGAAATAACATGTGAGAGTGAGTCGACCCGCCACATCCCATACCCGCCCAGGTTTTACCCGCCCTGCCCCGCCCCCCATCCCATTGCCATCACTAATCACCACTACTGTAAAGCATTATAGAAATGCTCATAACAATCCAAATATGACAAGGAAACTAATAAACATGGTAACGAAACTACTATTTCAAAATTAGAAGGAAGAAATTGATCATTTGCAAGTTCCAATATATATATATAAAAAAAGAAAAAAAATAGGAAAAGGAAAATAGGATTAGTTCAAGATTGAAAAGGAAAAGAAAAAAATCCATGTTAATCCTAACGCGTAACTACCAGGCAAGGAAAATGAATAAATTAAAAGCTTAAAACTCCCCTAATAATCAAAGCAAAGTTTAAGAGACAAAAAATCTACTAATATCAACCCAACCCTTTAACGCATTCTATTTTGGGGACCAAAAACATCCCTGCTAATCCGTCGGCTTAAGAAAATTCAATTCGATTTAATATTCCGCCAGTCTTATTCTTTTAGGGGACAGCTAAACTAAATTAAAAAAATAAAAAAACTGCATTACTTATCCTATGGAGACAATTTAGTTCACTTGTCCCTAATAACACTTATAAACCTGTTTCCGGAGACGATATAAAAAACCATTCCCTATGTTAGTCCCTAAATCTCTTCTTTTTTGTAGTGTGATATGTTCAACCCGGACAAACAGAAATCCGCAAAGACTTTTTCACTTGCGGCCGTGCATCAAAATCCTAGAATGTTTATGGTGTTTGATCACCGCCTCGCCGGCCGAGATACGTTCTCGTCGAAGAGGGCGGCTGAGTGACGTTTCCGATTATCACTTTGTTTATTTAGCTTATACGAGATTTAATTTTGACCGGTCGTTGGCCAAGTATAGTCAAATTTTCTGACCCCCAAAACCTTCAAAAGAAACAAATCACATTCACATCCATATCCTACGGTTTCCTTAATCAACAACACGATTTAGCCGCGCTAATCATCATATATTTATAATTATATATAAATCAAAATCATAACCCCATTTTTTTTGTCTCAATCTTCTCTTAACCACCCGCACGAAACTGTAATCAAAACAAGAAATGACAGAAATGGGAATGTTCCAAATCTCCGGCGACGTGTTCCAAACCGTCGGGCTAATCAGCCGCCGTCACAACCGCCGGACCGTCCACAAAGTCGCCCACTGCCCCACCGGAGCCCTCTTCGCCCTCAAGTCCATCCCGCTCGACGACGACGGCGGCCGGCGATTCTCGGCCGTCCAGCCCCGCCGCGAGTCCGTCCTCCTCCTCGACCTCGACCACGCCAACGTCGTCAGGTGCCACGGCGTCGCCGAGGATCGGCACGGCGGCGAGCTGAAGCTCCTGCTCGAGTACATGGACGGCGGGTCTCTCGCCGGGAAGAAAATCTCCGACGTCGGCCGGCTGGCCTCCATCGCCGGCCAGGTCCTCGAAGGGATCGCTTACCTCCACGGGAGGTGGGCCCCGCACTGGGACGTGAAACCGTCCAATATCCTCCTCGCGGGACACGTGGCGAAGATCGCGGATTTCGGGGCCAGCAGGTACAAATTATTTTCCTAACAACTCGAGTTATAAGGGAGCTGAGTGGTTTATTCGTTCACATAGTATAGAAATTTTGATCGAGAGGTCATAGTTTGTGATGAGTTTCAGTATAAATAATTGTGTCATAACTGGGCAGCCCATTAGTACGATATTGTCTGCTTTGGGCCAATATCATATGTAGACTATCGTTTGAGCCATAGCTAGTAAATGATTAAAACTCGTACAAACTCTTTCACAACGACTCGAGTTATTAGGACTAAATGAGACTGTGGTTTGAAAAGGTGTGTAGGAGAAAAAAACTAGTATAATACACCGACTCGAGTTAGTAGTACTGAATAATGCTTTTCTTTAAAAGGGTGTGTAAGAGATAAAAACTCGTACAAATTATTTTCTGACGACTTGAATTATTAAAACTGAATGGTTTGTTCGTTGATAGGTACCTTAGGACGATAAGGGACAAGTCGGAGTTTGTCGATGCGGTGTCGTATATGAGCCCGGAGAGGATTGAAGGGGAGTCAAACGTCGTCGTTAGGGACTTGTACGGTTTTGCTTCCGACATCTGGGGGTTTGGGATGAGCCTGTTGGAGGCCTATTTGGGCGAGTATCCGATCGGCGGCGGCGGCGGTGCCGATTGCTCGATGCTGATGGCGATGATTTGCGGGCCGGAGCCGCCCGAAGCTCCGGCAACCGCGCCGGCGGAGTTTCGTGATTTTATTTCGTGTTGCCTGAGGAGGGAACCGATGGCACGGTGGAGCGCGGTGGAGCTGCTTAGCCACCCTTTTATATTGCATGGGAAAAGAGTTTAGGTTTTTTTTTTCATTTTTACTACAAGTCGATGTGTACTAAAAATGCATAACTAGATTTAATCTCTTCATTTTGAGGGTTTGAGAGTACTTTTATTTTTTGATCAACTTGTAATTCATTCGTTTTAATATGCATTTAATTTGTTTTTTTTTACATAGAATGAATAAGGTAAATTTCTTTTCGAGCTCGTCGTCCTTCTCCTCCCTCAGTTGTTGCAGCCGATCTTCCTCCATCGTTTTCCTCAATTTCTCCAGTTCTTCGTTCTTCTTCATTGCTTTTTTTGCTTCTTCATCCTTTTTCCTTCTTAGTTTTTCGATCTCCTCGTCCTTCTTCCTTCTCACTTTCTGCAACTCCTCGTCCTTCTCTTTTCGCAAATGCCCTTTTTCGTTTCTTCCCCTTTTCAGAGCTTTGAATTCATCATCCTTTTTCTTTAATAGCTCTCGCAACTCCTCGATTCTTGTTTCACACGTCTCCTCCATCTCCTCTCTCAGCTTTTCGAGCTCCTCATCCTTCTCCTCTCTCAATTGTTGAAGCTCTCCCTCCATATTTCTCCTTAGTTTCTCCAGCTCCTCGTTCTTCTCCTTCACCAGTAGTCTTTTCAACTCCTCATATTTCTTCATACCAACCACCTCACCATCCGTTTGTTTTGACAATTTCCCACGTCTGGCAGCAGACAACACACGATACATTATCTCCGCCCGGCCCCACTTCCACTACAAGAAAATATATGTTTAGGGTCGATTGCTTTGTGTCGGTTCGTTTAACCGACACAAATTATGTGTTTTGCGACACAATATAAACACAATTTACAAAAGTAAAAAGAAGACTCAATTAGAAGTAAACAACAAGTTTTTTTTAAAAAAAAAAAAGTATGCAACCCGCCGGTAGTTGTGTTGTCTTGTCTCTATCCGGGGATAGTTCAATAATAGAGCTAATAATCATTATTTTGTTGTTTATTTGAATAATTGATTAGTGTTTTATATTTATATTAGTTGTTCTGCGTCATTGCCAATTTGGGACAACGATTTTTTAATTAAGGTCGTTTAGATAGAATAATTGAAAAATGAGACAATTTGATCAATTGTTTCATGTTACAAAACAAGTCAATTCGAATTGCCTGTCTCTACCCCAGACAATTGCAATTGTCTTAAAATGAGTTAATTTGAAATTTTCCAAGCATAATTGTTTCATCTAAAATTTGTGTTGTCAAACAGATAAATTAGGCCAGGTTGTCTCAAAACGGAACAATTGAGTCAAATTGGTCCATTAGAATCCCTCATCCAAATGACTTCCTGGTATTTTTGCGAGGTCTGAGATCAAGAATGAGTAGGGGGCTAAAGATAAAAGAGTTGTTCTCGTCATAGTTAGTAACTAAGTTACATATAAAAAATACAATACGTACTGATATTTTATTTCATATATAAATTATTAGTACATCTAATATAATATGTTAATAGTAAACAACAATATGTTTAACACTAACTCCGGTAAAAGAAACCAAGCCTCAACCCCACCACCAAACTAACAAGCGTGAAACTCCTATTGGGACAGAAATTGGCATCTTTGGAATACGGCAACGGAATGGGATCTTTAGCCACCATCCTAGAAACACTAACACGGTTGAAATCGCCGTCGTAATAAGCCACCATCGTCGTCCCGCCTTCCGGCGCCGTAGTCTTCGCAAACCACCAATTATTCACGTCGAACTGCCCGTCTCGCGTGGCCACCGTCACCGGAGACGGCGTCGGACCCGCCGTGACATCCTCGTCGATCAGCAGCAGCGAGTCGAACAGAACGTGGTGGCTCCCCTCCGCGATGTCCGGCGTGTAGTGCTGAGGGACGGGCGGAGGAGCGGCGGCGGCGGCGGAATTGTTCTTCCGACGGAATCTCTGCGGCGGCACCGGCCGCCTCCTGCTGAGGTGGATCTCAAGGAGCTTCTCCTTCGGGAGGTGGAGCAGGATCTTCGAGATTGGCGGGCTGCCCCACGAGTTCTTCCGGCACTTCTCGAGCTCTTTCTTCAGACTCTCTGTGGTCGTCGTCGATTCGCCGCCATCTTGATCGCTTCTTCCCTGCTGCCTCAGTGCTACGAGTTCGTGCTCTTTCTCTTCTTTCTCTCTTTCCAGCCTTTCTACCTCTTCGTCCTTCTCATGCCTCAGTTTTTTCATCTCTTCGTTGAATTTACGTAGTTGCTCGTCCTTTTCCTTCCTCAGCTTCTGTAAGATTACTCTGTTTTCGTCCTTCAGTCCGCCGTCTTTTTTCTGTAGTAGTTTCTGCAGTTCGCCGTTCTCCTTTTTTTGTTCTTGTAGTTGCTCGTCTTTCTCTTTTAGCTTTTCCGATGTTTCTTCCTCTTTTTCGAGAATGATCCTTTCTGCTTCTTCTTCCTTCTCGTTTCTCAGCTTTTCGATTTCCTCCTCCATTTCCTGTTTCAACTTGTGTAGTTCTTCGTCTTTTTCCTTCCTTAATGCCTGAAGAAGCACACCATCGTTCCTTCCCTTCCTGAGCATTTGTAGTTCACCGTCTTTCTTCTTCAGTAGCTTTCGCAACTCCTCGTCCTTCACCCTTGTTAGTTTTCGCAATTCCTCATCTTTCTCGTTCAATTTTTGCAAGGCTTCCTCCTCCTTCTTTTGAAGACCTTCCATTTCTTCGTCCTTTTCCCTTTTTATCTTTTCGATCTCCTCGTCCGTCTTCTCTTTAAACTTTCGAAATTCCTCGTCCTTCTCCTTTCTTAGCTTTTGTAGCATCGCTCCATCGTTCTTCCCCTTTTTAAGCATTTGCAATTCGCCATCTTTTTTCTTTAGCAGTTTTCGAAACTCCTCATCCTTTTCCTTCATCGCCTTCTTGATCTCCTCATATTTCGTCTCGCTTGCTTCCTCTGTCTCCTCTTTTAACTTTTGTAGCTCCTCTGCTTGCTCGTCCCTCAAATTTTGTAGCTCTTCATCCATCTCCTCCCTCACCTTTGCCAATTCCTCATTTTTTACTCTCAACATTGTTTTCAACTCCTCGTACTTCTCCTTGCTCACTCCTACTCCCGTCGTTTGTTTTGGTGATTTCTTGTATTTTGGCATGACATACCTCAACTCCAAACGATGCCACACGCTGCTCCTTGCAGCGTCAACGCCATGACGAGGCCAGTTGAACAGATCATTCAGCCGAAGGTACTGGATCCCGAAATCATTATGCTCACCCAATCCCGTCACATCTTGAAAACAATACCCTTCCGGGCTCACCATCAACCGTAGCCGGGTTAGGTATTGAGCTAGCTTGGTTAACGCCTCCCGTCCCTCGATCTTCCCATGACCATCGAAGAACAACAGCCCGTCGTAGGACTCTTCAGCAACCTCATCGTCATCACCATCGTCGTCACCAGCATCATCGTCGTCGCGCACAGTGATGCAGGCGATTTGCCTCCAGTGGATCTTTCGAATCGAAGAAGGGTGAATGGTAGGGTTGGTTAACTCGTATATTTGTAGGGTAGTTTTGTCGGAGGAAGCAACAAAGTGCTTGTCTGACTTGAAATCACATAGAACCATGTTAAGAGAGATTAGGATTGAAGATTGTTAGCTAGCTATATGATAGATGAGAGGGTGGTACTTGAGTTTGTGTGTGGTATTTATAGAATGTCTCATATCTCAACTTGATCAACGTTTAATAGTATTTTTTCGTAGTGATTTCTTAGTAATTTGGTACCCACTTGAAGGCCGGATTTGACTTATTGAGGAAACCCTTGTAAATGTTTATTCATAGGAAATTTGTTATTCTTCATTTTTTTTAGCGACGACTTAGAACGATATGACAAATCCACACTACCATCCGAATATACTCTGGAGTCTAGCAATACAATTCCGCGGAAGCTGCAGAGACGACCTCTATAATAACGACAAATGCTTTAGTCGTCGCTAAAAACAATTATTAACGACTTGAAACGCACGAAAATGACCTAACGTTGTCACTGCATTATTGATCCACCGTTCACACGCCCACGACATCGGTTAATATAACCATAAACTTCTATTTTTCGGAATTAGATGAGACATATGGAAAACCGAAAAGGTTCAAGATTTATGATTTTATGGTTAATTGTCATGGAATTGCTGGTTAATCATTTATAAAATTGTTCATAGCCCATAAATTTTTTTCATAGTCATATACATCGTATCCCCGCCATCCGGCACGGTGGTTATGGGTAAACGACCAGGTGGTTAAGTTTTGCTTCCTTGATCGCTCTCCTTTGCCTTTCGTGTTTTGTGGGCGGATAAATCGGTCGTGATGGAAGAAAGTTGTTTCAACAGGTCTTCGTATTTCTCCTTTAGTTTCGCCGGTTCGTCTTCCTTCACTTCGAACGCCCGTTTCGTTTCGTAGTTTTTATCCTCGTTTAACTTCTTTTCCTTGATTGCAGCTAGCTCGGTCGCCATGGAAGAAAGTTGTTTTTTCATCTCGTCGTCTTTCTTTTGTTGAAGTCTGGACAATTCTTCGGCCTTCTTTTTCTTCAGCTCATGTAGTTCATCGTCCTTCTTTTTCACCATCTGGTTCGTTTCGTCGTTTTTCTCTTTGATCTTCGTCATCTCTTGTAGTAACTCCTCCTTTTGTTTTCTCAGTTGATTCACTTCCTCCTCCTTCTTTTCGCAAAACTCACTATCTCTTTCCGAGTCACTGCAATCAGCTAGTTGACTTGTAATTACTTCGTTTAATTTCTCCCTCTCCACGTCTTTCTCCTTTCGAAGCTTCAACAACTCGCCATCCTTCTCCTGCCTGAGTTTTAGCATCTCCTCCTCCTTATCTTCGGTAGCTCGTTCCAGCTCCTCGTCCTTCTCCTCCTTCAGCTCTCTTACCTCTCTCAGTAACTCCTCTTTTTCCCTCCTCAACTTGTGCACCTCCTCTTCCTTCTTCCTTCGCATCTCGCCATCCTTCTTTCTCAGCTTCTCCATCTCACCCTCCTTCTCCTCCCTCACCCTCTCCGCCTCCTCTTCCACAGAAGAGACTCGCGACCTCAGCTCCTCCAGCTCCTCGTCCTTCTCCTCGATCACCTTCCTCAATTCCTTCTCACCCTGCTCACTCGACCCCCTCGCGTGTCTCGAAACAACGTACTTCATCTCCCTTCGCCCCCACGAGGTGGTGGTCATCGCAAGACCCACCCCGTGCTGAGGCCAGCTGAACAGATCATTCAGTCGGAGGTAGTGAATCCCTAAGTCGTCAACATACTTACGAACCTCGTTCGCGTCCTGAAAGCAGTACCCTTCGGGGCTCACCATCAAACCTAGTCGGGCCAGGTGTTGTGCCAGCTTGGTCAGCGCCTCCCGCCCCTCGATCTTCCCGTAGCCATCGAAGAACACCAGCCCGTCGTCGTTGGCCGTGATGGTGGCAACTTCTCTCCAATGGATCTTTCGGATGGAAGAAGGGTGGATAGTAGGGTTAATGAGCTCGTAGACTTTGAGGGTGGTTCCATCCGGTGAAGCGATGAAATGCTTGTCGGATTTGAAATCGAAGGGTGCCATTTTTTTTTTTTTTTGGCTTTGTATTTGTTATGTGATGAATATGGAAGAGCACACACATATATGTGAATATAATATAGCTCTAAAATATAGATGATGGTTGAATGATTCTACTACGCATCCAAATTGGCATTTCACTTTCTATGAAATAATAATAATTGACTTTGACTCTTTGAGGATACGTAGTTCCATCTTGGAAAATCAGTGTAATTCTTCTTGAGTCATTTGGAATGACGTAATTTAAATGCATCATCTTTGAAAAGGACGAATTAGGTATATTCCTATTCCATAATTTATTCATATTATTATTAGGACTATATTGTCATAAAACTAATAATATTGATAAACTATCCATATTATTAGAATGAGATAAAAATAAAATGTTGTTTTTTTTAACTTTATGAGTGTGATCGGGTAAAAAGTACGTTGAATTTTGACAAAACTCGACCCAATTGCATAGATTATTAGAGATCGACAACTCAGATTCAATTGTCATCCATATCCATAGTGACTGGTATCTAATGTTTGTGTTGATGTGACTCGAATCGGACTATCAGCCGCTACGACTGGTAGTCGGGTGTATGGGCTCAATGTTATTTGAGTTCGGGTTCTGGGCCTGGTCTGTAACCGTTTCCTTTGCCAGATTGGATTAAGTTTAGACCCACATGGAGAAGCACTATATATGATGAATACTTCTCATACTCCTCTGTAATATGTAATCTCCTCGATATAGTGAAACTGGCTCTCTCTCGCCCGTGGACTAGCTAACACACATCGTGTTAGTGAACCACGTAAATCGTGTGTCTGTGTTTTTTCGATTCTCGCTTTCGTATTCTTACTTTATCGATTCCGGCGATTTCTCGATCCGTAGCGGCGGGTTCATAACAGTTTGGTTGTGGGAAACTGATTAAATGGATCCTCCAGGTACATCTTTGTTGCTATATTTAATAGAAATGATGCTTCCCGGTCACCGGCGCCTTCTTGCAGTCACCGGAGTTGGGCGAGTGCTTTCCTGTGGCCGATGGAGTTTTTGGCGGGAACGAAGGCGGCGGCGGGCGGCCCCAGCTGATGGTTCTAGGTGTTAGGGGTGTTCAAATGGTTACCATGGTTATAACCAAACCAAATAAGTCTAAATTCCATTAACCATCGAATACAATATAATAACCAAACCGTCCAAACTAATACAATAACCAAATTAACCAAACTAAAGTTTAATTGGTTTGGTTAATTGGTTAACCAGATTAACCAATATAAAATCACATTATCATTGACGATGAAATTTTTTCGGTTAATGCAACAATTCGCAATTTATATAATTAATAAAACATAACAATCAACACGTATCTATAGTTGACCCTTAACAAAAATACATGCAACTAAGACAATTATCTTACGATTAGTATAGAAGTATTCACCTAACAAAAATTTATGACAATGGTATGGGTTAATGAATTGTTGTGTTTGTGTAAATTGACTTAGTCCTTAAGCAATTATCATAGGCTGGAATCAACCTTCCTTTCAAGTTTTCATCCGTCATAATGTATGAAATTTATCTAAATTAGGCGCCCATATTTTGTGGTCTACATTTTACATATACAAATATACACTATATGAGAAATATTGAGCTTTATATTTTATGAGTCTAAAAGGGATGAACGTTAACTCTTGAGTGATTATGCAAAGTATTAAGTATGTGTATATAATATATGTTAGATATATGACTAATTACTTAATTGGTTAATTTGGTTTGACTGGTTAGGAGTGTCTGAAACCAAACCAAACCACCTAAACCAAACAAGCTAAAAACTTTAACCAAACCAAACCAATTATCCAAATTAACCAAACCAAATTATCCAAATAGTACTGGTTAAAACGGTTACCATGGTAACCAAACCGTTTGAACACCCCTACTAGGTGTGCTAGGATGACATGTGGGCTTTTATTTGTTATGGGCTTGTTTCTGACTTGAGCTTTCTGGGCCCTTCGCTTATGCAATTAACCGTCAAATGATTAGGAACCGGAGGGCCATAATAAATCTGGTAACGGCTATAAAGTTATATACTCAATTTAGTCATTGATACATTGGTATTTTCCATCCAATAGATTCCTAAATGTGCGAATTCTAGTTTATGTGTATGTCATTCTGCCAAAACAGAGAATAGTCTCTTTCTCTCTTGTAGTCCAATTGTTGTAGGACAAACTTCTAAAATAAATAGAATTCACAAGTGTCTCCCTTTCCCTACTAGTAAAGATCCCCTTGATGCAAGCTAAGCCCTAGGTTATGTCCAAATTACCAATATTTTGGTACCAACTACCGATATACAAATGGAGAGTCTAGAAAGGAAAGGATCACTTGTTAACAATCTTGTAGCTAGTGGCAAGCCATTTTATATATGAGGATAAATGGGATTGAATGGAATTGGGTAGGTAAAATTTAATGCCAAGCCATTTTGGGATGAGGTAGGTTTTGGTGTAACATCGTATTATTGGAGGTTGTACCGGATAAGTTTGTAGTAATGTATTATATGATTAAATCGTGGTTTAACCAATTCATAACGATAAAAATCCTGTATCGATTTGGCCTCTATTATCTAATAGTTTTTCTGATCGGACCAACGTGATACAGTGTAGCAAACCGCCAAACACCATTAGCAAAACCGGTGTTTGCAAAACCCTACCATATTGATGTTCCGCCCAAAAAAAAAACGACTATGTAAAACGAATAAAGCACGATTGCATAACAAAATACTACACCATTAGGTTTTCCGATATGAAAGAATGCATACCTCACGTTTAGCCGTTTGAAAATCGATATTGGCTAAGGAAGCTTCCAAGACCATTGTTATTGTTGTGGATTTCAACTTCACACATCTATTAAAATATTGTCATCCAGCCAGGCATAACCATCAGATTAATATAACCTCTCATTTTCTATAAGTTATCTTGTTCGACATCAAACTTGAATAAACTACATATGTTGTCCAGAAGAAACCTCTCAATCAACGTAGCTGTTCATTTGTCTTGTCTTATAAAATTATCTATCAACATAATAAACAATACTTATAATTATGTGCTTCAAATTCAACATAATAATAGTAGTCCATGGCAGATTGGTGTTTCAATTTTACTCAACTTCCGGCAAAAATTGTATTCTCTCTTTCCCTTATCCCATTTGATGATCGTGTAAAGAAAGTCATATAATATAAGTACACTTTAACCTTAGTTTCAACAATTAGAGTTATTGGGAAAATAGTTTATGATACGACATTAGAATTGAGTTGGCCAAGTGTATAGTTTGTTCGAATCTTGACATCCCATATAATACTACCAGTTCCTTTAAACGCAAGGTATGATATTGGACAAGTGTATCGTGGTGGGCATTTATTGATCCAGTCCAAAACCAAATTGAATCGTGACATGACTAACCAAAAGCACAGGAAAAATGAGGATCAAACTAGAGCAAAAGCATGTTTTGCTCATTTGGGTTTGTCCGATTCAGTCCCAATTCAATTTCGGTTCAATTTTTTTTCCTTCATATTTAAAATAATTTATAGGATCAAAACTGAAATGAAATATATTTGATCCAATTCGATCCAAATCTCAATTTGATCTGGTGTGGGTCGAAGCATTGTCCAGCCCTACTTGTACAAATTTCAAGTTCATAAATTGTCTTATTGAGACCAAACGAATTATGGTAGTTTATCTATAAAAAAACCACACATATAGAATCTGTCTACACAGCATATATTTTAAGTTATGACTAATGAGCATGGACCCTTCACCAAATCTTGCTCTCCAATCCATCTCAGCAAAATCAAAAATGGTTTGTGTAGGGTTTGCAAGCAAATTCAAACTTGTTTCGTTTATAGAAACATTATGGAACCATCCTCCTTGTTACCTAATCAATCCTCTGCTTTGCAATAAATAAATACTTATACAATAGTTGTCTTTATCTAAATTTTTTTTATCTAATCCAGATTCAATTCGAAGTATTTCGCCAATATGTTAATACAGAGAGATGTTATCACGGGCTGATACTATCAGATACATACAACCTCGATCACTAATTCATAAAACGTTATCATCCGATATATATTTAACGAGCCGGAGAGATAAATGTTAGCGTCACCGTGAAACTGACCCTTGCCCTATAAAATAAGTCCAAATGACTAATCCACAAGAAATGAACCTACATTAAGTATTACCTTTCTCCGAAGTTACAATATGGCCAAATGACTAATCCACAAGAAAACATCGAATTTACCAACTACTAGCCTATAGGAATAGGAAGGTAAGCTAATTAATTTGGTTTACCAATCTCTTTCCCCTTAAGTTTTGTATATGTTAATTAGCCGCCCCAACTGGCCGGCAAACAATGAACCAAGGCAGCCTGTGTATCGGTACAGAAAACGTCCGGTGGTTTCCTTGATGCACACAATTATACAAGTATTAGAGTTTGATTGGAACTCATTTGCGCTAATTAAATTATAAAAGGACCAATTAAAATATTATGAAATATTGTACGAGAAAATATTGATGTTTTTGTCTTGACATTTTGATGTTTCAAAATTGTTTGATGATGATGGGCTTCGAAGTATACGTTCAAGAGTATTCTGACCGCGTGAATGCTCAAGGAAACTCATAGGAGCGGACCAATTCGTACGTATAAAAACTCCGCCTATGACAGCAAAAGGGGTTTCTGGACGGTGCTATAGATTGCAATGACTCGAACTCGAAAGCATTCATGTCAACCCTCATCGTGTCTTATTATTTGAATGAATTTTTGACCGCAATGATAGATTGCACATAATTCAAACCCGAAAACCGACTGTATCAAGGGTCAATCCTCATGTCTTACTACTTTGATCATCCTTAATGGGTTTTTTTTTCTTTCTATATTTTGTATTTTATTACTCACCGTTTCCAAAAAAATATATATCTTTTCTAATAAAAACCATAGTCCATGAAACCGTACCGGCAGTTCAACCACAAAATACCAGTATAGGAGGCTAAACCGATAGGCGATATTTAACGATACTAACGGTTGAACCACCATTTTGTCATAAAATACCCTACCGCTGACTTTTATGGTACGATCTCCGATACGGTTTCATGTACCATGATAAAAACCCAACTATTAAATTTCTATCAAATGAAAGTGGATTGAAGTACCTCCACCGCAACACAATTGTAATCCTCAATTTACAATAATGTGAAAAAAAAAATAATAAACCCATTGATCCAAACACACAAAAAAACAAACCATCTAGAAACCCAAAACAGAACAATCATCTCATTTTAAAAGAACAATCAAATTATTAAATTAACTTTAATCAAATTGAAATCCACAACCATTATAAATAGTAATACTCCCTTCTAATTCCCCATTTGTTCCCCTTTCCCTCACAATTAACTCTCCGATGGAGCCGAACCCAATCTCCGTCACCTTCTCCGATCTCTACACGGTGGCCGCCTTCTTCATCAACCTCCTCCTCCTCAAACTCACCCTCCTCTCCCGGCGGCCGCGGCCGCCCCCCGCCCGATGCAATCGAGCCCAATCAATCGAGGACACGTGTCCCTCCTCCAAATTTGCCGCCGGCGCCGGCGGCGACGAGTGCGCGGTGTGTTTGAGCGATTTCGCGGCCGGAGAAGCCGTGAGGGAGTTGGGCTGCGGCCACACGTTTCACAAGGACTGCGTCGACAGGTGGCTGCTCGCCGCCGGCAAGGTGACGTGCCCCCTCTGCCGGAGCAACGTGATTCTTCTTCCCCCGGCGGTTGTCGCCGTCGTCGACGACGACGATTGGGGCAGCCAGCAGCTGGCTCTGTTGCTGTCCAAACTGCGCGGCGGAAACGTGACTTGAATTGAAATTTGTACGGTTTTCCGACCGGCGAGATTAATTAATTAATTAATTAGCGTATTTTTAATTGGTAGGAAGAAATTAAAGAGGAGATTCCGATTTGCGTATAATGCGGTGGTTGGTTGTGTGTGCATAATGATTCAGAAGACACTTTCCGTTTCTTCATTTCTTGTGGTTCATTTTTTTTTTTTTTTTTGCTTGTTGGCTGACCACATAATTAACTTTGTGTTAATCGGATGTCACAAAATTCGACCCGAACCGGAATTCCAATGTTGAGGCCTAGTCAGGTCGAAAAATCGGATGTGACTTGCTTCTAAGTTGTCATTCGGTTCGGAATGAACCGAACCGAATTTCAAACCGATTTGCAGAACCAGACTCAACTCACTCTTATCTTGAAAGCCCAGTCCAGTGACCAGCCCAAGCCCACACTCCCCTAACCATGATCCTTCCTTCCCTTTCTCTTGACCCACTCTTAAGGTTTGTGATGTTCGGCGGATGGAAGCTCAAATTATGAACTAGAAAAATTTCATTTTTCATGTTATACCTAGTTGTTATTAAGGGTTTGCAACGGTTCGGTTCAGTTCGGGACTTGATCAAACTCATGAGATTTACGGTCCGATATTAGTGAAAGACATCGTAGGACCAAGGATTAGACCAACATTGCATTCGGTACGGGCCAAATTGTAATTCGGACCAAGTCAGAGACCCCGTCACCAGAGGCAAGCCCTTGCATAGGAAGTCCTTAAATCATTTGAATGTCTCTATTCCGGAATGGATTCTCTTTCTCCCCCTCAGCGAACCACAAGGCTTTTGAAGAGGAGATCATATGCTCATTCACCATTAGGAATTATAAAAAGAAACTGCACTGTTTTATGACGAATTTTCTTCAGTAATTAATGAAACCAAAGATCAGGTCACTTTATATTTTGTTTGGTATTGATCCGATCAATGAATCGAGTTTTATCCAGCACAATCCGATATGAACCAACTCATTGCACCTCCCTATAACCCTACTTATTATAATATAATCTTCTCTACACCATAATAACCTATAAAAAGGGTTTCAAAGTAACTCAGGTACCGATTAAAAAAAGGGAAATTTGCATTTCATGAGCTTTTTTTCTCGGTGCTGGCCAGTAAGATCGCGACAGCAGGCCAAGCAGTTAGCACCTAATCCTTTGTCGAGCATATTGGTGGTGGTGGGGGGGAGACGACTCTTTTTTAACTCAGCACCTAATTGTGTCACTAATCAAGTTGTTGTTTGTCTTTCAATAATGTCAATCACTATAATACTAGTTTTGGGTTTTAGCTTACTTCATTTGAAACAATCTTTCTTCCTCCTGTAGCATACGATCCACTTAACCAAAATAGCTCTGGTACGTACCATGTTATATACTAATAATTGGTCTCTATAACTCTTGAATTGGTTGAACAAAGAACAAAATGTGAGTACAACGTAGATAGATATGCTCCAGGTCAATGCAGTCGAAATCGCGTTTCTACGTACGTAGAAGCGTTCTGGTGATCTGGAAGCGTAAAATCGTAAGTTTTTTAAGCGCAGTTTTTTTTTTACTACATTGGTTATAAAAACAACGATTATGTGTAGAAGCGTACGTGTTGTTGACCTAGAACCGTAAAAACGCAAGTTTTTAAGTTTTTAAAAATGCGATTTCGACTGTATTGCTCGAGATATGATACACGATCAAAGTTCAAAACTTTGAAGATGCATATATGTTGAAAACAACTAAGGCTAACTTCAATGGAGCCTCTATAAATGGGGGAGTCTTTATATTTGGGGAAAAGTTGGCTCCAATGGAGTCTCTATAAATGGAGGAGTCTCTATATTTGGGGGAGATCTGCAAAATGATCCCCAAATTTGGGGGTGGAAATGGGGGTTCCCCAAATATAGAGACTCCCCAAAACCCGCCACGTGGCTTTTCTTTTGCTTTTTAAGATTTTAGGGGTTAATTGGGGTTTAATTAGAGGATTAGTTAGGGGTTTAATTAGATCATTAATTTTCAAGTGTTGTGTGTAAACCCAAATTAGTTCCATAATTTTTCGCCAAAAAAATTCGGTCTCGGAATTTAACAAAATTCTATCGAAAAATTTATATTTAAAAATGATGACGAACTATAGAAAAATTAACATGAAAAAATTATATTAAGGCTTCGATAAGTACATTTTTAAGTAAATGGAAAAACTAAAAAAATTAAGATCCCCAAATATAAGGGGTCGTTTGGAAGTTGCGATTGTTAAATAGATGTATTGTTGAGAATGCATGTATAATATTATACATGTATTGTCGAATTTGATGCATTGTAGAATACAACGTTTGGTATGTGTGATTGTGTATGTCGCATCAGCTAAAAGCTGAGACAAAACAATCTCAACTCAACTATCTCAACAATCACAACTAAAAGTTGAGATATAACAATCACTCAAAATGAGTGATAGTTTCTGTCACATCACAGAAACAATCCATGTATTGTTTCTGCTAAAAAAACAAAAAAACGATGCATTGTAAACAATACATGCATAATGACAATTTCAACAAAACTATCGCAACTTCCAAACGACCCCTAAAGATTGAAGCATTGGAGCAAAAGAAGGAAAAATGGGGATCAATCCCCAGATTTGGAGATGAAGGCCCCAAATTTGGGGTTTTGCATTGGACTTGGCCTAAGTGGCAAGTTGGGGAGTGTAAGACAAAAGAAAAAGGTGTATCTATCCATCACCAAAGTCATCAGTACTGATAATAACCTTCTTTTTGTAATTTATATTTGCAGTGGTAGGGTTATAACTAATAACTAGTAAAGTCCACCTGGTAGAGTAGCATTCAAGTTGTTAACAAAATCACCAATAGTTACCTCTCCCTGGCTCCATTATTGGATGTGTACACATCATTTTTCTCAATAGAAAAAAGTACAGTGGGTGAAAAAAAAAATAGTAGTAGTTAACCTATCTATTATGACTTTTTCGGCCACTTCTGCCTGGATACATATGGACTCATTCAGTCTTATGCGGCTGTTTTGCCTAAGATTCCTACCAATGGCTACTAACGTTTAAAACGTAACAAAAAAATTTATGTACTGATCATACTATCATCAAAAAAGCCATTTCGTGTCTTTCCATATGAAATTTTCGATTAGCTTAGTCGTGATAAAATGTAGGTTTAAGAGTTAGTTATGTGTCTGATATTTTTTTTTTACTAATTTTTTTAGCAGTGAGTCCGCAAGGTAACATGCTATTTTAGATTAAAACATGGATAAAAAAAAGATAAAATGTTTGTTTTGTTATATCGTGATACATACATTTTGAATGTGAACATTTTTTACGGGACCAAACATATTTGACCATTTTTTTATTAAATTTTTTGATTAATTACACTTTTGGATTCATGAAGTTGGCCATGTCCCATGCCCTTCATACATACAATTAAAAAGAACACAAAACCTTGTTGCATCGTTGTCTTGTGTGAAATGTTTTACAATTTAAGCTAATATCACTCATATATATAATTTGGTCAAAGGAGCTTAACGAAATAATACCTAACGAGATCAGCATTCTTTATATAAAAACTAACCAACAAAGATCTAGAAACCTATTTTTAAAAAATATACCTAACATCTAGAAACTTAAGCTTCCAATGTTCATCCAATCACCAGTGCAGCAGGTTGGCAATGCGTGTAACATGGACGGTGGGTGATTAAGAAATTAGGGTTTGTATCATAAAGAACAGAATCAAGGACCAATTAGTACCCTATAATCTTTGATTCTGTTACAGCCTAGCTAAACCCAAAAAAAAAAAATTGTAATTACCTGAAAAAAGGAGCGATTCGAAATTCTTCGGACCCAACTGCGCTCCATCTGGTTTTTTGTATAGCGCTAAACGGGACAATTCAAAATGATATGATTGAATCAGATTACCTCTCGTTAAGTTGCTCCATCCAAACCAACCTGTAATCTATCTATTCACGGGGAATTAATACGCCAAATTTTGAACCGGTTATTGTATTACACTAGTTCCATGGGAAAAATACATGAATGAGGATTAAGATTGTAATTACCTTTAAAAGGAACAATGAGAAATTCTTCACACCCAATTGCTCCATCCGATATAAATAATCAGGGCAACTTGCTCGAATCGCATCAAAATAGTATAATGGGATCAACTTGCTCCATCCAAACCAACATGTAAACTATCTATGTATTAGTAAGAAATACCCCAAAATTTGAACCGATTAGGTGTATCGTTCTGAGTAGTGGCAGTTTGAATCCAATTCGCCAATACAATCCAATCAACACTGAAAAATACAACTCATCTAATTCATTTAAATTCAAATTCACTTAATCCAAATCCAATAAATTGGTCGATTCATGGATTGGATTAATTGATTGTTGGATAATTATCATTTAGTACTTATAGATTTAACATTTTCAATGAAAAATATACTTTAAATTTTTATATTTTAGTATCTATAATGACATTTTGATACTTAAAAGTAAAATGCCACTAAAATCTACAAATACAAACCACAAATCGATTTAATCACCAATCTAATCCATCACTAATCCGTGAATTTAATCTGTTTATCACCTCTATTCTGAGTGGTTGATCTATCCTGACTTTCTCTTCTCTTTTAATCCCTTCTGGTTCTTTAATTATTTGCTTCACAGGATATATTTTAACGACTAATTATTTTGGTTGGGCGATCAAATTTTATGTAAACCATTTGTTAGAAACTTAGAATTAGAGACTTAAGCTTAGGTATGCTCTGCCAAACCTTTTGTTCTTAAAACAAGACCAATTCATCCAGGGAATTGTCGCAATCATAATTTGGTAGAGTACTAACTCTTTAGCTAACTTCTTGCCCTCAATTTTCTCGATACATATTTTCTAAGAATAAATAAGGGGAGGCTTAATACCCTAATTTGGTCTCAATTTTAAACTAAAATATTATTTTTCCGATTTTTTTAAATTCATAAACTGACTATATTATTCT